ATAAAATGTAACTCCCTTTCTCTAAGTGTGGCTTGGTTTTTCTCCGGTCTTCTGTAACATTATTAACGTCAGACAAAGTAAACTGCAGAGCAATGAAAAATACCCGCTCTAAAGAGGGACATTTTATAGCGATAAAAAGAGTCCATTGACAAGGAAAGGAACACACACCGAGCCAGTTATCAGGCTGCTATAATGAAGTGCCACTGGTTGGGTGGCTTGTAAACAACAGAAAGTTACTTCTCACAGTTCTGGAGGCTGGAAGTCCTGTCACAGGCCGGTAAGCTCGGACAAGCAGAGTCGGGAAACCAAGACAGTTAAACAAGCAGTTTGCAGCCATCTAGTAAATCCTATCTTCCTTAAACCAGGCACACGTATGAGTGGATGATTTGTACTTCTCCTCCCCAGCCAGGGGGTAAATAGCTTAAATCACCCTACTCAGGGAGACAGAGAGCAGAAATCCGTTCGTGTCATTTGCCAACCACACCCAAGGACAGATGAAGTTAAAGGAATAAATCTTGTTTTGGCACATCAGACTGCACCCTCTCCAATCCGGGACCCTGTGGGGGATGACCCTTTGGGGGATGTCTGACTGCCGGTTTAGGCCCGATCCCAGGGATCAGGCCTAAACTGGCAGTCAGTCAGACATCCCTCTCACAATCCTGGACCACTGGCTCCTAATCGCTCACCTGCTTGCCTGGTCACCCCTAACTGACCTGCCCCCCACCCCCTGCCAACCTGATCGCCCCTTACTGCCTCTGCATGCCAGCCTGATCGCCCCTAACTTCCCCCCCTGTTGGCCTGGTTGCCCCCAACTGTGCCCCCTGCCAGCCTGGTCTCCCCTCACGGCCCCCCTGCCGGCCTGGTTGCCCCACGCAGCCTGCTGTTCAGTTGTTTGGTCATCCCTCACTAACCCCCCTGCTGGCCTGGTCATAGGCAGCCATCTTGTGAGGGTGTGAGGGTTAATTTGCATATTACCTCTTTATTATATAGGATGATCCCATTTATATAAATTCCTGGAAAAAGCAAAAGTATAGGGATGAAGAACCAATGGATGCTTGTCAGAGATACTGTGTCTTCAGTTCTTGCCCCTTTGCTGTGTTCTGCTAGGACACTGGACTTTCTCTGTATTGCTGTGCCCCTCACTCCCTCTCTGCCTGAAGCACCCCTCCCACAAGCTCCCTTAGGTTTAAGCCTCTACATTCTGCATATTAGTTTTGGCTCCTCATCTGCTTTCATTTTCCAAAACTGTGTTGACATCTCTTGACACCATCATCATTTTTCCCTTCTCTTTAACCCTATGGGCTTATGGTCTTTTTATTTATTTACTGTTATGACTGTGAGGATTTGGGAGGAAACAGATAAATACATATTCAGTGTACTTACACAAACTCTTCTTTAATCAAGTCTAAAACATTACAGTTTAGCTAATGGGTATTATTTTCATATATATTTTATCTCTCTGGCCAACCTCAGAAAGCGTAGATGTTACCAGACATGATC